TTTATTGCTATTTACTTACAGGGGAGTATTTCTGTACAAATATCTGTTCCTTTAAGACCTAAATACCTCAATATTGCTAAATCAGGCTTAGAACCACAGAGGAAGCCACCGAATTTATTATTTTGAATTCTATATTACTGTTTTCCTAATTAAGCCGAATTATTCCTTCAATCTGAAGCACTTTACCTTTAGATTTAACCATCAATTAGGAAACTGGGAGGTTTTTGCTTTGAATCTGTGTGTAAGTAGGGCCTGTGGAAAAGCTGATGAAATGGTCTTTCATGATCAGTTTATGTGGAAGTTGGTTAAAGTTTAATTTGTGTTATTATTTATTTTCTTTGAACATTACATCCTCAGCTGTGGCACAGAACGTCAAGTCAAGCAAATAGAACTGAGGTCGAAAATCAGTCCCTGTCATTACTCGGCTAGTTCAAATGGAAAAGGAGGTGATGCAAAACTATTACACCAAAAGCTCTCTTCTTGCAATGTATTGACGTTGTTATGTGGTCTGCGTTAATACCAAAAACAGCGTCTAGTGATCGCCTATATAAACAGCATGTGCTTCCGTAACATCTCTGACTCCTCAAAAATATTTTTTCCCGATTTTCTTGAGCCGGGTAGTTTGTTGATTATGCTTTGATTTCTTAAGAAAGATTTCTTAAGAATGCAAGACGAGGATGATAACTCCGAGTGACTTCTCCGTGGAGAGAAGTGATTTCAGTCTCCGGCAAAATGAATTCTCAGCAAAACAGCAGTTAATGATTGAAAGAGTGTTATCAAGCGCTGTGATTGATTTACAAGAAAGAATTGGTCTAAACGTTTATTGATGCGGTTGTTTACTTATTTGGTGTGCAGAAGGCTACTTAGTCTTTTTATGGGTTTATGGCTGGAACTAAAGATAGATGTGAAAAAATGTATTTGGCAAAATAAAGCACAGATTTTGGAATTGTAGTAGACTTTGTAAGGAATTCTAAAATGTTGGTCCTCTGCACTACTTCAATTAATATTTGGCCTTCATTTTAGAAACTATTGTCATTTCAATTAATGGCCAAATAGAGTTATATTCTCCATTTGTTTCTTCCTGGTAAATTACTTTCAGAATACAACTACTAAAGTTATTATTAATTTAGATCATAAATCAATATTTCTCTCTGGCTGACCAGTCATGCACATTTTTCTGTATAGCTGGAGCTCTGTTGTTTTTCTTCTGTGGAGGACATAAACTCCAGAATAAATCTTGGAAACAGATGGAATTAAGACCAATTATGTCAATAATTAATTCAATTAAGTCACAAAGACCTCTGATAGAAGAAATATCATCCATAAGGATCAGTGGGATAGACACAAGACATCTGTAAACAGAAGGCTGCCATCATAAATATTCACGAGTAATATACAAATGCAGAGCGCTGGGGAGTCTTGATTTAACCTGGTCATTGTCTCTAGAAAAAGAACCCCCAGGTCTGGTCTTATCTAAATTCTTATTCCAACTAAGCACTGAATTGTTTAATTTTCTGCCCGGATGCAAACTAATGTAATCTTTAGCCACAGTAAGATATCTCAGAAGGTTTGGTTACTGTAAAATTATCATTGTAATCATTGTAATCATTCGATATGGAAAATAACAATGTTGAGGAGTATACAGTGCATTCTCCTGGGAGTGACGAGTGGATAATTAAATTAAGTGGTGCTTATTAATGTTAGTGCTGAAATATACTGCAAAACAAGCAAAAAGCAGTTTAAACGTGGGGTTAAATAAGTGCAATCTTCTTTAAACCCCACCTCAACTTTATTGGCTTCTGAGGGAAACTAGCAAACAACTTCAGAGATTAACAAAGACGTGTTCACATGGGGTTTTGCAAAGCAGGCTGCCAAGTTTTGCTGTGCAATTGGTGACAACAGCGGTGTGCTCATTTAAATTACGACAAGGGTCAGCGTTATCACAAGCCAGCCTTTTCACTGCTGATCACTTTCAGAGACAATTCAGTTGAACCAAAATGCACAATCGGTCATCTGCATTACTGGTCTGGTTGCAATATATACAGTATATAAGATAAGATCACTTTATTGGCCCTATACAAATTCTTGTACTAGGAATTGGTCTTTTCACATACCCCAACTTGCTCTCCACGAGACACACAAGCAGTGAGAGAGAAGCTTGGGGTCAGAGCACAGGGTCAGCCATTTATACAGTACCCCTGGAGCAGTTGGGGTTAAGGGCCTTGCTCAGGGGCCCAGCAGAGTTGGATTCCTCTGCCAGCTACAGGATTTGAACCAGCAACTTTCCAGTCACACACACAGATCCTTAGCCACAGTGCCACCACTCCATTGTTATGTATAACATATATAACTATGATTATATATAGTGTTATATAGTAACTAGTAGGTAATCATACAGTAAATCATGTATATCTCCCAAGTAATGGTTTGTTACGTACTTACTGTATGCCGAATCTCAAATCACCTCTTACTAACAAGTCACGGGCTACTTAAGACAGTATGTGTGTTGCCTTTACTGAAGTGAAGACTGTTCTTGACCATATTAAGTCATCTACTATCTTCCCAGTGATGATTAATATCTTGGGATTATCTTGGGAGAACAAGATGAGTTATTATAATTGCCCAACACTCTGCCCCATAATTATAAGGTGGCAGGGAGGGGTTTGTGCAGCCGGTATTCAGACAAAAGGCCACTTTCACATTATGAAAAGTAAGTCATGAAGCTATTGAAGCACATTTCAGGTTTTAATAAAGATTTTTGCATCCACCCTGTCCATTACCGCCATTGTTTCCAATGTGAAATGTGCACTTTCTGCTTTTGCAGTCAAAGATTAGACCCAAGTAATGTTTCAGGTATGATATGGAATCACAACCCTTTATCCTTTATCTTTTCGCCACAGAGACGGCTTTTTCAGAGCCTTTCGCCATTCACGGTGCCTTAAAAACAGACAGCCAAATAAAAGGAACCTCTATTTTACGACGCTGCAAGTTTGAAGCGTGTCGGGTCCTAAGCGGTGTTGTTGCGTGGCGTGCTGAGCCCCACCCGGCCTGATCGAATCCTGCCTCTTTCAGGCAGCGGACGGCCAGCTGTGTCCAGGTGCTGAGAGATTACCGTCTGTAGGCTGATAATGCAGTCTGGCCACGAAACTCGCAGCTCAGTATGAACCATTGAGAAGCTCGGCAATGTGTTTTCTCGAAGTCGTACTTGCTACAGTATTGAAATGTTTTCGGACTACGTGTGATTGAGGTTTAGCACCACTTGTAAAATTAACTTTCCAAAGAGAAAATGCAGTTATTCTTTTGGATGTTTTTTTTTTATGGTTTAATACAGTAGATTATTTAAATGTCTCCGTTACAAGGATTTTGAAATGTACGAGTGATTGCATTGCGTCTGTTTTCTCACTTTAAAAAAAGTTTCCAGCGCACATACTGTTTAGCTTTTTATTTGTGAGTGTGTTGATTGCGTAACCACCGGGGAAAAATATTTTATAGCGGCGGTGTAATATTAGACTCATCGGTGGTTTATGATTAGCTCAAGACCAAATAGTCAAATATGCGAGGGCAATTAGAGCTTCATAGATAACTGTTTTAGTTAATCTTTACAGAAAAACAGGTTTTATTTTGTGAACATCTTAAGGAGCAGCTTTGTCCTTCCGAAACACTTTACTTGATTTTCACAGCAATGCGACTAACATTATAGAAGAACATTTCAGAAACAGAAACGGCTCTTCCATTCCCTAAGGTATCTGACATGAAAATTTGAACATCGGACACTGACCAAAAATCTCAAACACAAAGGCTTTTCTTCTGTTAAGAAAAGATACAACAATTCTTGGGGCATGAGGACAGTGCTAAATTGTACCCCATAAATCTAAATCTAACATCCTATCTGTGTGACAGTTTTAAAGTGAAAAAATTGAAAAGGTGATATGTTAAATCATCATTTGAATGCTAAAGTGAGTTACAACTTAGAACTGATTGACAGGAAACAGTAATTAATGCTGTACCACAGTGATCTGTATTATGACCACAGCTCTCCATAATATATATCAGTGATGTAGATCGATCATCTATATAAAGAAATAGTTAATGTGAAGGAGTAGGAGGATTAGAAAAAAACTCTGTAGAAGCTGCAAAAGCAATTCAAAAGCACTTGAACCAAATTCACTGGACTGGGCAAACAGCTAGCAGATGACATTTAATGTAAATAAGTGCAGATAGAAAAAAAAAACATAAATGATAGTTATGAGAAAGGAAACAGTAAGATTGAAGAAAATATTTCTAAAATAGATTTCAATATGGGGAACAAATAAAAGGGCAAATGGGATGATAGTACTGTTTATAGAAATAAAAGCACAGACTTCAAATCAAGGGATGTTGATTTGAAAAGACACACTCGTAGGACCACATTTAGAGAACTGTGTTCAAGTTCAGGTCACCAGGGTACAAGATACACCTCTACTCTAGAAGCAGTTCAGAGAAGACACATTCCCAGACTCACAGGACTCTTTCACACTGACAGGCTTTTCAGTAACAGCTTGCAGGCTGACATCGAACCTCTTTAGTCTTTTTAGCAGCAGAGCCATCTGTACGGAGACCCATTTCAAGCTTCGACATTCTCCCATGGACTGTGAAAATGGAACTTCTTCAAACTAAACAAACTAGAGGATGTACTAGAGAGCAAGTGCATTTAAAACTGAGCACAGTAGGCACCTGTTTTTTTACACAAAGGGCAGTAGGAGTCTGCAACTAGCTACCCAAACAAACCTGATGGGGTTTAGCGGCCTCTTCTCATTTCTGTCATGTTCTTATGAAAAGCTCTTGGTCGTCTTGTCACCCAGCAGTCCTGTATCTCTTAATCTTAGTATTGTTTTGGATCAAGGAGAGACATTCACTGTAGGGGTGGTGGACTTCATGTCAGGGAGCATATATTTTAAATAAACAGGCTGAACCTAAACTGGCTTACGGTCTCAGAGGTTAATTATTATTCTGAATCATACTACTGCAATAACTGTGGTCCATCATGGAGATCACTGGATCCAGCCATCCGTCGTCCAACTGCTTTATCCAGTTCAGGGTCATGGGGAAGCCGGAGCCTGTCCCTGACAAGCAAGAGGACAAGGTGGGATACACCATGGAAGGGACGCTAGTCCATTGCAAGGCAGACCGACACAGACAGAACCATGCACACACTCACCAGGGCCGATTTTACCCAGAAGCCAATTATCTTGCCAAGTGTTTAGTAAAGTGGAGCACCCAGGAGCAAACCCCGTGAAACCAGGAAGAGCAAACAAAGTCCACACAGATAGCACCCCAGGAAATGAACCCTGGACCCCCATCACTGCATAGCAGCAATGTTAACCACTGCACAACTGTGGCACTTCTGGAGTGCAATTTCACTTATCGCAATTTCACTGATGCATCAGTGTAGTTATGTAATTGATCACAACATGTCAGGTTATACAGGAGTGCTTAAATCATCATTTCAGTCTAAAGGACATAAATTTCTCTAATTTAGAGACATTAATACAGAGAAAAACTGCAATTTTTTTTTCTTTTTCACTGAGAGAAAAAGACACCTTTTAATCATTCTCAAACATTATATTATGTTAACTACAGTATATTACTGTACAGTTTGTTAAAATCCTGTCCTTTATTTTTCTGTTTTATCATTGCTTAGTTTTGCTTTTTTTGATATGTTGAAACATTTCTAAGCTGTTTTCTCCATGACCTTGTGAAAGATCGCCCGCAACAAAGTGTTTAAAGATGGTGTTTACCATGACTAGGGACCTTTTACATCAAAACGGATTGAGCAACACAAAATCGCATTTCAGCGTGTGTCCCCGGTGAAGCATATTCACAGTAAACAGGGGGATGTTGTCTGTCTAGAGGTCAATCTCAATGGATTAGTACTGCTTTCTTAGAACGTGCCAAATGAGTTATGTTTTAAGAGCACTGTCTGTTACAAAAATCACAGTACAACCTTGCAAGTCTTACAAAAGCAGAAACAGTCACCTTGCATAGGTTTTAAGCATGTGTTTCCAAATTAAAGCAATTTAAGTCCTTCAGACTGTGAAAAGTGCCAAAACCAGTGACATCGCTACAGCCGTGAAACAATCTTTCCTAAGATGTCAGGTTCATGGAGTTATCAGTTAACAAGAGTTTATTCCATGACATTATACCACCTTATACCCACCTATCCCAGCCATCCCCAACAGGTAGGCAATGCTATGCTTAACAGGGCTGAAATGTGCTGCCGCAAGCACACCTAGTTTCTTCTTTCATTTATCAACATTTATACAGATCAAAGTCATAAACTTACTGTTTTTGTTGTAGACGGGCTCTGAGAAACTGGCAGTTTCATTTTAATTCCTCACACTCTCCTCAGCTGTAGGCCCCAGTGCCCCCCAGACATGACCACTTTCCCATTTGTGCTTTTTTATTTTTAAAAGAATGGCTACTACCCGCTCCTAAGTCACCGATGGCCTGAAATGAAGAGGTTTCTTTCGGGAGAAAGTACAAATAGGCAGCGGTTTGGAAATGGAGTTTGGTCAGTGGTCGGAGATTTCTATTCTGAAGATAGACAGGACTTTGTTCACAAACTGGAGTTTGAAATTTCAAAGGGGAAAATAGCAGAGGAGTTACATCAGTTTTTTAGAAGCTTTTACTGTTGACTTTTAGCCCCAGGCAGTTTGGATGACTGATTGTAGGACATAACTTGGCTTTAGTTTGACTGTATGTGTATTAAGAGTGGAGTATGGAGATAAACACTCGGAAGGCCATAATGTGCACTGTGCGCATTATTGCCCTACTGTGGCACGTTGGGACTACTTTGCAGTGACAATTATGCAGAAACAATGTTTTCTGTTGACTAATCTGTCTCAAACTCTAAAAAGTTTTCAGTCTTTTTCAGATATAAAATCGTCACCTGACAGTGCTCCAGACATTTGCCTTTAGCTTGTGTTTGTTTTGCTAGTTGCCATGTCAATAAAATGTGTATATATATTTTTTCAAAACCCTGCTGTACGAATAAGCAGTGTCAGCAGGAGGAACAGTTTGTGGGTGTATAGTCCTCAGCATAGGAAGCCAAGAGAGAAATCCAAGCAGCTGGTGAGTGAAATAACACAGCAGGCGTCATGCAGAATCTCCCCTTTTCACAACAGCTGGATCTGACACAGCACAACAACTCATCCTCATAAGGTTTAGGGGGAGAAACGCATTGTGAACAGAGTGGGATATATTTGTGAAAGTATTAAAATGATAATGACTTGTTAAATTAACGAGGCTGACTGTCTGGGTCCTCTACGCTCCAGTAGAAAGCAGTGAACTCTTTCTTTGCTTGTTTCAACCACATGCTAATGAAGAGCATTAGCACAGTAGTGTGGGAATCGAATGACTTTTTCCAGGTCATCAGTGAGAGGTTGAGCACACTATAGCAAATAGGAGCGCCGTGCCTACTGATTAAACCACTGTTAGTGAGTGTGCTGGGTTTAGTGATGAGCTCTTAAATGACAAGCTGGGCGAACAGCTAGGACACCAAATGGAAAAAATCTGGTAATAAACTGTGAAATAGCACTATATGCATATCAATAGTTTTTGTTCAATGTTTAATGCAGAGAGGATAGAAAGAGGGTTCCCTTTGTAACAAAGAATAGAACTAAGTTATAGTGGGTTTCTATTATGGGCCAATGGTATAGTAAAGTCTCTAGCCTTTGTAACCTTGTCTTTAGTATCCTGAATACTTTACTGAGTCCTGCAGGGGTAACACACGATTACTTTTCCCAGTTGGCCATGGGAGAAAAATATTGCCAGCTGAATACTCCCCTGGGTTCATTGTGCCCAGGAGTGTTTCGGTGATGAGATTGTGCAGAGCTCAGGACCTCTGGTTATAGTGCCTGATTTTGTTTTTTGAGGAAAAAGTTATTTTGGTTAAGAAGGGCTGGCAAGAATCTTTGATAATGTTTTTACGCTCTCTAAGCTAAAATGGGTTGGTAGTCATTCAATCCTTCAGACAGTGTAGATTGGCCTCCAGATCAGGAAGAGAGATGGGTTTTGTTTTTTGTTTCCTTTCTGGGGTTTAAATTGTTTGCTCTTTCACACTTATAAAAAAGAGCAATGTTATGTCAGAATTCTAAATCCTCCATACTGTAAGAGCCAAGCTATGGACAATCTGTCACATTGCTATTACTAGTAACATAGCTAGTAGGAGAAGACTGGCTGCCCAGCCATGTGATTGAAGCCATTTCCACCAGTTCTTTTAAGAAACAGCTGGATGAGATCCTCCGATCAACTACATGTAGGCATTGAAAACCACAGGGGTCAAATTTGACCAAAAGTCAAAAGAGATGAATGACCACCTCATATTTTTAAGCTTTATGTTTTTACCATTTTACTAATTTCAAGGCCTTACACGCTTCCAATTGTGATAAAAATGATATACCGTAGACTTTCAACTGTACAAATATACTCAAATGTACAATCATTTTTTTATCAGGCACTATGTCTCTGCTCACACACACGTGCCTGTAGCCTGTATAATCAGAAGTGGCTCATACTGTTGCTAGAAAAGAATTAAGTATTACGACAGTTTGACGAGAATTTACTTTATACGTCAAACAGCTACCGTGAGTTCCTGTCTAGATGGACAAGTCATGTTTGTCATGACTATTTTTAAAAAACCCTCTTGCGTTTAAGCTTTGTTCTGTTTGCCAAATTTAGGAAAAATTTTCAAGCATTGTTTCCCATCTCTCCACTGTGTTTATGGTGTGTTAAACTGTGTTTAAACGTGGATTGACTTTGGTCAAAATTGCCCCCAGTTTGTGTTGTGCTGTATTTTCATGGATACTGTATTTTGTTTTACTGTGCGAGCTTTGCCTTCTCATTTACCATTTCATTGTGCTTTTCCGTGGCTGTACTCAGATTTTCATATGGCAACGTTTACACGGGTAATGGCAGTTTTTAAAAAGAATTTAAACATAGGGGCGGCATAGTGGCACAGTTAGTAAGCGATTGACGCCTCACAGTGCTGGGGTCCTGGGTTCAGTTCTAGATTGGAGGTACTATCCGCTCGGAGTTTGTATGTTCTCCCCATCCATGTTCATCTGAGTTTCCTCCAAGTGTTATGGTCCACAGTCTGAAAACATACTGTTCAGTTAATTGGCTTCTGGGAAAACTGGTGTGAGTGTGTGCGTGTTGTGCCTGTGTGTGCCTTGTGATGGACTGACATCCTGTCCAGTGTGTATCCTGCTTTGTCGCTGTTGCTTGCTGGGATACACTCTGGCTTGAATGTGACCTTGAATTGGAAGAAGGGGTTAAAAAATGGATGGATGGATTTAAATATAAGAAACTACATGGTTTCTCCTAAAAACAACAACCCAGAGCACAGCTGTGTTGTTACACATTTGTTAACAACATGTTTGGCAATGGAAAAACATTTTTTTGTTACTTTAGTTCACTACACAAGATTTTCACACCTGATGGTCTTGTAGGAAGCAGTTTTTCTTACAGCGTATGAAAATCAAACACACCTCAGTGAGTCACGCCCCACATAGTTTTAAGGGTGTTACTGTGATTAAAGTGCTGACTCTCACAAATTCACCTCTCATCGTCTGTAACCACAGTATAAACAACGTATCAGATCATTTGCCTGTAAGAGGGAATGTAAGTTGACACAAGGTAGTGCATTTAAGATTACATGCTCTTGAGTTTTGTATTGAAACATAATGTAATTCCAGCCAAGATATGGGTATAACTCCCTTAAAGCAGCAGGGAAGATAGACATTTATTGCCTGTCAAGAACTTGCCTAACAAGAAAGGAACAGTTTTATGGAAACACTTTGAGGCTTCATTGTCACAAATGTGGCTATAAATGTTTAATTCCTCTGAATTATCAGTTTGGATGGTCAGTTACCCCTGCAAATGTCTACTGGATACTCCCTGTTCCCCAGACCGAAGTCTGGTTATTGTTAATCACCCACTTTGGGAATGACCCTCATTAACTGGCCCAGATGCTGCTAACTTGAGCTTGGAAACACCAAGCTGGGGTTTCGAGTTCCAGCATAGCAATGACATCTAGACATTGAAGAAGAGAAATTCAGGCTGGGTTTTACAAGCCCAAGAAATTGGCTATAAGAGAAAAATAAGCTCATAAAACTAGACCTCTTTGTGAGCCAGGGTGAACTGTTAATGACTTATCAATTAAAAAGGTACAATTCAGCCATCTTGTTTGGAAAAAAAAGCAACTGTGTTCCAAGAAATCTTGAGTTGCATGATTAATTGTGCATTGTTGGCTTACATTACGTTTTGAAAGCAGTTATCAGAACTTGTCCCTTAATATCTCAGCAAGGCAAGAGGATAAAAAAACACCTTAACCTTGTAGATTATATTTTATAGACCTATATATTGCTGTTCTTAAGGGTTCATGGAAAAATGGAGATGTGTAGCAGCGATACAGGAGTTAATGAGAGTGGAGATAAGATATACTGTCAGCAGTGTCAAGTAATTTCGCCTGGTTCCGAGTTCCACATTTTTGGCTCCTCAAGTTCCGGAAACCAGCCAACACTGGTAAAAAAAAAAGCAATTGTGTAAATACGAACACCTCCACCTAGTTTCAGCAAAAGTGAAACAACCACAAAGATGTATTTTAACAATATATTTATATATCCATTTATTGTAATTATTATTTATCCATATATTGGAATTACAGGTCCAGGGATAGTCTGTCTTAATTTCTTTTGATTCCTGGCTGTCCTAAGATTTTCTTTAACTTTGCTCTACATTGTCCTTAAAAAGGGTATGAGCAAGAAAAGGCCAATCTGCCCACCTTGCTTTGAATATTAATAATTTGTTAATCAGAGAATCTCATTCAGCTGTTTTTTTAAATGTTCCCTTATTGTTATCATCAGCATTGTTACTTTTTTTAGTCTGCAGTCCTAAATACGCTTTCCCCTACTTTCCATTTGTATCATGTGGTCTTTTGCTTCATTGCTGATCTTGAGGAAGCCCATTGGACAGACACTTTACAAAGCCTTTCCCATCCTCTGTCCAGTACTGAGAAGAGCCCTGTCTGTGCAGGCATTATTTCTGAGCTCTCTCCCAGATAGCAATGTGGCCATCCCTATATACAGAATGTGAAGTGTGAAGCTGCATCTGTGTGAGAGCGTCCAACAAAGAAGTAGGCTTAACTTTAAAAGTCAAATGAAATATAAATACCAACTTTTCTGTTGTGGAGCCTTCTTCAGATGTAGGATTTGGAATGAGGTCTTACTCTCCCATTGTAATATGTCTTCTACACAGGTCCTTTTCACACATCTAGCAGTTTCTTATCACAAAGATATCTAGCAGTTGCTTATCATAAAGAGCTTGTATTTTTAAGTTTGGACGTGGCGTATGTTTAAGTTCGAGGCAGCATGATGGTGCAGTAATTAGCATTGGTGCCTCACAGTATTGAGGCCCTAGATTCAATTCCAGAGCTGGGGTGCTGTGTGTGTCGAGCTTGCATGTTCTCCCCGTGTTCACGTGGGTTTCCTTTGGGTGCTCCAGCTTCCTTCCTCAGCCCAGAGACACGTTAAATTTATTTGGTTCTGAGAAAAGTAGCCCTGGT